CTGGCAACTTCTATGTACCTGCACAACCCAAATTGGCATTTGTCATCAGGATCAGCGGTATCAATGGTGTGAGTCCAAAGGTCCAAAAGGTGTTGCAGCTTCTTCGCCTTCGCCAGATCTTCAATGGAACTTTTATTAAGCTCAACAAGGCTTCCATTAACATGCTGAGGATTGCAGAACTGTATATTGCATGGGGGTACCCAAATCTGAAGTCAATAAATGAGCTAATCTACAAGCATGGTTATGGCAAAATCAATAAGAGGCAAATTGCATTGACTGACAACAGTTTGATTGCATGATCTCTTGGTAAATATGGCATCATCTGCATGGAGGATCTGATTCATGAGATCTATACTGTTGGAAAACACTTCAAAGAAGCAAATAACTTCTTGTGGCCATTCAAGTTATCATCTCCACGGGGCGGGGGGGAATGAAGAAAAAGACAACCCACTTTGTAGAAGGTGGAGATGCTGGTAACAGGGAAGACCAAATCAATAGGCTTATTAGAAGAATGAACTAAGGTATCTGCCCTGATTGTTTTTGTAATCTGGTCAGTTAATAAACAGTGACTGCTTTCAAATTGAAAAAAAAAAAAAAAGAGATGGAAGGGGTGGCCTGTTTCTTTGCAGGCATCCTGTCACTGGTTCTGCACTAGTCCCTGTCTATAAAGTGGCCTCTATGAGGACCAGTGTCCACATTCCAGATGAGCAAGCATTGATGGCCAGCCTCCTTGACCCATGGGCAACTAACCTTCCAAAGAGGGCTGTCTAGTATTTTCCTCTTGCCCAGCCAGGGGTCTTGTCCCTGTGGCTTTTAACAGGGTCACATTGATGCCTTGGTGGGTGAGTGGCTCCCCGGTGCTGGGTGCATACCTTTGCTCAGAAAAGGGAAATGTCCCCTGCTGGCAAGAACTTGGGCAAAGGGGCCCTGCCCTAGAAAGGAAGAAAAGGTGGGTGGGGGAAATGGCAAGAATTGGGATGCAAGGATATGCAACTTGGAGAAGCAGAGGGGTAATCTGCTGGCTGGCGGTACCCCTGGGCCCAGATTGCACAAAATCAAAACCAGAGCCTCCCCCTCCAACACCCACCCTACAAAACCAGCTTTGGCTTTTCTCCTCCTTTCCCAGCTTTGCCTTAGGGTGTCGGAAAGTGTCCTGGACTCATCACTTTTCCCTGTCCTCCTCCCATCCAAACCCAGTCTATTCTAATTGATGGTCTTAAGTCAGGCCCATGCCACCTCTCTCCTGGTTGCTGCCTCATTCCTTCTTACTCCTTCAATTTCACATCTCTCTGCTCCCTCTTGTGGGCTGCCCGCCACACCCACAGTGTGTGTCTTCTTCATACCCCTCGCATGCCTTCAGTGACACTTCCCTATTTCCTGTGACAGGAATAAGGGGTTTTCTCCCTCTGAGAACCTCTGGCCACCAGCTGCTTCGCTCCTCTCAGGCTTCACCACAGCTCAGCCCGAAATCCCCTCCCCTATCACGGAAATCCTGTTACTTTTCAGCCAGTAGAGAGGTCCTCAGAGTAGGACCCCTATAAGCTAACCACCAAGGGACTGGAACAAGCTGGTCAACACACAGAGGTGGTCAACGTAAGGAACTAGGCCTGCCGTACTGACACATCCACATGGGGCATGTCGGGTTTGTGAATATCAGGTGACATGTAGGAGGTGGTCAGTGTGAGATGGTGAGCTGCAGTGAAGTTATAATTCTGTTCTGTGTTTGTACCCAGCATAGGGTAAGCCCTGCATGTTCTGTTAGGTGGTTTGAGAACCAACACCCTCTCCTCCTCCCATAGCAGAGACTCCCTGTTTCTTTCTCAGAAGTTAAGTAATACAAAAATAAGGACTATTTTATCACTACTCTGCAGCTTGAAAAGCTTTTACACTTGTCTTACAATGGCTCATTCAGTCATCACCACAGCCTCTGAGAGAGGCACCTGCAGACTCCACCTTAGGACCTCAATGGCATGAAGCCGAGCCCTAAGCCAGGAGGGCCATGCAGGAGGTCTGGCATTCTGGGTTTCTGCCCTCATATCTTGCTCAGGCCAAAAGATCTGGTCTGGGCTCTCATCTGGCCCAGATGAAAACAGTGACTGGGGACCTAGCCAGCTTTCATTCTCTTTGTCCCATTTGGGAGCAGGCAGGTACCTGTTCTGGGAGCCAAAGACATGGGTGACAACATTAAGGGAAGTCTGTGAGGTAAGGGAATTCAAGAAGAGTCTGAAGTGGCTGACAAGAGCTTCTGTGGCTCAGGCAGTTGAGTAGTAAAGCAGGGAGGGGAGAGACCCACTCCCACCCTGAAGGTCCCACCAGACCCCTGCTGTAGGCATGTGAAGGGACCAGAACAAGGCCAGAAGGGGAGTCCTTCCTGTATCAGGGTAGCCTAGGAGGTCCCCATGGCAACTGCTAGCTAGTCCCGAGTCTGTCCTCAGCCCAGCAGAGGAGGCTGGGAGCAGCTCTCAAAACAGCATATGCCACTGACCGTTCCGGAGGTTGTCAGGGCTGGAGGTGACCCACCCCCACCCCACCTGCCACCCAGGAGGATGTGAGTAGAAAGTTGTGGGGAGAGGCTGGGGCTGGAGGCCTGAAAGACCATGAGCCTTCCAGGAGCAAGGGAGCTCCTGAAAGGGGAAAGGGACCAGAGGGGCACAGGCTGAGGGGCCTGGGGAAAGGACAGCTGGGGGACCCTGGCAAGGGGGTATGGGCTAAACAATGAGAGGAGGGTGGGAGTAAGGAAGGGAAAATTGGAGACTGCTGGGAAATGAGTCTGTGGACCCAGATAAAGGAAATGGAATTTTTCCACCTGACAGTGGAAGTCCAAAGACCACCACTTTACTCCAGGGGCTGTACCAAGGCCCTCCAGAGCTGAGCTGTTGGGGCAGCAGGCTCTTCTCGTGAAAGCTGGAGAGACTTGGGACTCCCACAGAACAGGGCAGAAAGCCAAATACAAAGAGCCCGGCCAGACCCCCAGGAGTCCAGTGGGCCTGCCCTCAGGCTCACCTACCCCACCTGGACCAGGAGCTGTCCCCAGCCCTAAGAGAAGCAGTAGTCCTGTCCCTTAGCTCCAGCCCCCTCACTCCTCATCTCCACATGCTGGCCCCACACAGCATCCTATAGTCTGGGACTGGGGCTTCACCCTCTTCACTATCATGAGAGTACGGGTGTGTTAGAAAGGTGATCTCACAACTTACGAGTGTGAGGGTCACCTCCCAGGAGCACTCCAGAAGGAGGGTGACCAGTATGGCCAATGTCCCAGCATCCTAGCCTTCTCCAACATACCCCTTTGATCAACAGCTCTCTTTTCCCTGATTCAGCAGTTTCAGAAACCCCAGGTCAGCCCTACTTCCTGAGTGAGGAAGAGGAGGGGGCTTCTGGGGAACTTCCTAGCCTCCCTGAGAGTTCATTATGCAAACAAAGGAAATAGACCTTAGAAAGGAAACTGAGAAGCCCCAAGAGGTCACAGTAAGAGTTCACAGCCTCTGGGAGCCCAGGTAGAGGCTGTGTCCCTCTCTCCGTCCCTCCCTCCATAGGCCCTCACCTATGATAGATATGGGGCAGAACCAGGCCTGGGAAGAAGTCACACCAGGCAGACCCCTGCCACAGTTCCTGCAGTGCTCACTGGATCTGAGTCTGCAGTTCACACACAGAGGTGAGGCCACGAGGCCACATGAGGCTGTGTCCCAACCCCAGAGGCTGTGTCCCTCTCTCCATCCCTCCCTCCATAGGCCCTCACCTAGGGCCAGCACCTGCCATGGTACACTGAATCCTACCTAGCTTTTGGCCTGACTCAATCTCTCTCTCTCTCTCTATTTGGTCCTTACATGTGTTCCCTCCCTAGCCTTCCCTATCCCCACTACATCCTACACCTGAATTAAGTGAGCTATACTCTAAGCCTTTCAGCCATGCTACATAGCACTTGCTAAATAATACCAAAACCAATTACAGCCCCTTCGAGAGCCTGCAACCCCTCCCCTCCTTAACTGACAACACTCCTCTGACCTGGCCTGTGCAGTCACACCACACTGTTCTGCCCCCTGAGCACTTCCAGGTGGTCAGGGAGCCCTGTGTGCTGCCAAAGGGGTTGAGGTTAGATCTCAGGAAGGACTTCCTAAAGAAGTCCAGCCTGGCAGAGTATGGCTCTTATTGGGAGGCCCAGCCAGTGGAGTAAGTGAGGGGAGACCAGGTCCACAGCACCCATGGAGCCAGAGTGCCACTGTATGGACTCCTTACCCCTCACCTCCTTAACCCAGAGCTGGGGGTGTGGGTGTCTCTCCCTCCCACACACCTGCCCTGAAGAAGGCAGTAACTTCTGAGGGCCAAACACAGGAGATCATTTTTCTTACATTCTTTATTTGATCTCTTCCTCAGTCCTTCAATGCCCCTTTTTGAGGACAGGAAACCCAAACATTCCCAGAAATTAATTATTTCAAGATCATTTGGCCTGGATTTGAGCCCAAGGCTCAGATTCCAAAATCCACACTCCTGTTTCTCAACCTCCCAGGTGCAGCCAGGGCAGCTGTGAGCAAAATGGGGAGTTCCTGCCTAAAATCCAGGGTGTGCTAGGAGGGCTGTGGTGGGTGGGATATGGGGCAGAACCAGGCCTGGGAAGAAGTCACACCAGGCAGACCCCTGCCACAGCTCCTGCAGTGCCCACTGGATCTGAGTCTACAGTTCACACACAGTGGTGAGGCCATGAGGCCACGTGAGAGGTGGGGGTAAAAGGGGGGTTCACTCCCCAGGGACAGCTGCTTCCAAACCTAACAAAACCCCAGGGAAAGTCCTTGTGCTGGGCCTCCAGCCAGCAGCTCTAGTCAAATCCAAGGGGCACTGGTCAGCCTGCAGAGCCAGAGGGTCCACAGACACACCCAAGAGAGGACAGAGCTCTTTGGCTTCAGGATTGGGTTGCCATACCTACTCCACCCTAGAAAACAGGCTCCCCTCCAGCTCCCCTTCACAGTGACAGAACACAATCAGACCGCAGCGGGGCATCCCTGGGCCCTGAGCTTTTGCATATTTTGTACAGACAGCAAGGCAGGTCCAGCTAAGGCCTTTTTCTAGCAGAAGTGGCGTCAGTGCACGGTGGGCTTCACTCTGCTCTGTGGAGGATAGCCAAGGACACCAAACAAACCAGGAGAGATACCCAGTTTAATGGTCTGAGCCTGACCTCCAGGGCAGGGCCTCAGCCCCGGTGGTGGTGGTGGTGATGGCTGTGTTCCTCCCTGGGCCTCCTGGAGTGCTTATTCCTCTTCCCTAACCTGTGGGAGACGTGCAGTAGGGGGAGGAAAAGGCTATCAGAGGACAATACCATGTGATAACAGGGGCTCTCCAGTAAAGAGGACACTGTTCCCAACAAAGCCAACTTGGGCAGCTACCACCAAATATGTGGGGAAACCTGGTCTCCCAAGATGAAGGCTCCAGCCCAGGAGGCAGAAAGGTTGGGACCTTCCTCACCCAGAACCACACAGGCATAGGCAGAGCAGAACAGCTCTGGAAAAAACAATTCCCCAGCCCAAAAGCGGACTCAGGACCGCTGCTTCGTCAGAGGCAGACAGGATGCATACCTGGATGCCTTCTTGAAGGGAAGCCGCAAGCAACCAGCAGTAGAGATAAGCCTCAAGCAAAAGACCCCAGTCTCAGGCCCTGCTCCTTCCCACCCTCCCAGCTGCCTCTTTTTGTCTCAGCAGGCCCAGCCTCCCAGTCCCTACCTCTTCTTCAGAGCTTTGTCTCCAAGCAAGTGGCTGAAGATAAAGTCCTCAAAGTCATCCACCTGGTCATCATCACCTGTCTCTCGCATGGCCACCTCCTCTAGGCTGTCCTCTAAGGCATCCACAAAATCCCGGAAATGGAAGCGGTCATGACGAAAGATGCCATCTTCACCGAAGTAAGTGGGTGAGAGGGGTAGCTCTGTGGTCAGCTGCCCGGCCCAAGGCAGCCGTGCCAGGTATGTTCTCAGCAGAGAGGCTAGCTCCTGTTGCTGCACTGGGGCCAGCTCTGTGCCAAAGAAGGTCAGACCCTCCTGCCGGGCACACTCATCCACACCTGAGCAGCCCTGGGGTGCCCGGTACTTGTACCTCAACAGCTCTGCCCAGGGTGGCAGGGGATCATGATGGCCTTTTGCCCCTTCCTCCCACCGAGGATGCTTCTGCTTTTCTCCAGAGAAGTGGGGGCTCCCACTTTTCCTTGGGTGTTCCTTGGGGCCCTGCCGTCTGCTATCCTTCTTGCTCCCCCACTCCTCTACATGTGGCTTGAGCTCCTCCTGCCTCCCTGCCAGCTCCCTGTCTTCCTCACCACCCCAACTCTTCTTCTTTCCCCGGCCATACTCCTCCTTCTTATGCTTCCAATGCTCAGCCTTCCGGCCCGTCTGCCCATCCCGCCACTGGTCCTTTCTACTCCACTCCTTGGAATTCTGGAAATGGGGCTTCTGATGCCAGGCGTTTGAGGCATTGGCAGACACCCCAGGGTCCTGGCCCCAGTTCTCTAGGCCTTGAAGTTTCTGGGCCAATCTATGGCCCAGCTCAGCCAGGCCAGCATGAGCTGGGTCCCCCCGGCCAGCATCGCGTAAGCCCCTCTCCAGGTCCTGCTGTACAGACCCCAGCAGCCGCCGCTGCCTCTCTAACTCTTGCCTTAATGCCTTGGCCTCAGCCTCCAGCTGTTCCTTATGCTCTAGAAAGCCTGGGTCTGGCTCCTGACCCCTGGGACCTTGCTCCTTGCCACCCTGCAGGCCTCTGCCCCAATGGAGGCACACCCCATCTATGCCCCGGATGCAGTCAGCCTCCAGCCCCTGGAGCCGGGCCCGCAGCTGCTGCAGCTCTGACTCCAGAGCTCGCTGGAAAGCTTCGCCCTGCTGCAGGGCCCCCCGGAGCCGGGTGTTCTCCTCCTCTAGCCCTTTGGGTTGGTGCATCAGGCTCTGAAGCTCTTCCTTCTGGGCCTGAAATATCGTAGAGAAGGAGGAAACTATAGGAGTCCATTTCAAGATGGGCCCAATGGCTTCTGCCTCAATTTTATTCTATTATAGTGGGCAGTAGCCCGAACCCTCTTTATGGTCTGAAATACCCAGAGATTTGGTTCTCATCGTCCACCCCAGGGATCCTCAAATTCTACCCTGGACCTTATCATCTATGTTCTTATACAAACACACAATTCTTAGAGTCACCTAAGGGTAGCCAATATGTGGCTCTCACAGCCTTATTTCCACCTTCCTTACATGGAGCAGACATTGTTAATTGCTCACAGCCCTTGAGTGTGCTTCAAACCCTTCTCCACATAGTGTTCCAGGCAGACTGCATCATCAATAAGAAGAGACATGCCTTGTGAAGTAGGCACACCAGCCCTGGCCTAAACCTTGGTATGAGGGTGGGACCAAGGCACTGTGAGATGCCCTGACTACAGTGGGGAAGACAGAACATCAAGGTATTAGGGGGAATAGAAGCTCCTCTCTGGGGAGGATACTGGGACAGACACCTGGCCTAGGTGATCTAGCCCAACTCACTCCCTCTGGCCTGTGCCCACCTGCAGCTGGGCCTGCAGCAGCCGGATGTCCTGGTTCTCCTTGGCCAGCTTATCCAGCAGAAGGCCCATGTTCTGTAGGTTGGGGACACTGTCAGGAGGCACTGAGGCCTGCAGCTGTTCCCCAAGCTTGTTCTGAAAGCAGAAGAGCCAGTTACTCCATGCTGTCCACAGCCAAGCAGCCAGGCTCTCCCCAACCAGCCTCTGTGCACCTACAGTGACATTCATGCACCTATGGTGACACTGACACATACCTGCCCATCCCCCACAGCATCCAACAGCTCAGTATCAGACCCCATGTCCGGGAAGACTTGCAGTTCTGCCTCCTCCAAGGGCTCTGTGGGAAAGTGAAGCCCTGAAACTGGCCCCAACACAGGAGCCCTTCTACTCCCACTTGTCCACCTGCTCACATAGTTACCCCTCCTGCCCTAGACCCACCCTATGTGAGAGGTCCAGTGAGGTAAATGGTCACTCTTAACAGCTGACAAGGGTGATAACTGAGAAATGTATAGCCCCCAACACCCCTAGACCCACAACAGACAAGCACGGTCAGAGACCCCACTCACTTGTCTCAGACTCTGAGAAGTCACCTGGGATGGAGATAGAGGAGTCTGGTGAGGCCTTCAGGGAGCCCAAGGCAGGGGAGGAGGTGAGGCAGGGTGAGCATGGGGCAGGAAGGCAGGACCAATGCAGGGCTCAAGGCCCAGCAGGGAGCTAACACTTACCAGACAGAAGCAGGAAGCCCAGGCCCAGCAGGACCAGGGCCCCGAGAAGGCACAAGTTGAGGGAGAAGCCCAGTTCCCCACCTGCACCCTCACACTCAGCCTGGTCTGCCACGTCCTGGGGGTTCACAGGCTGGGGCAGGTGAGGCTCCCGGCCCCGCCGTCTCCGAAGACCCTCCATGTCTAGGTCATCGGTGTCATTCTCACTGCTGGAGCAGTGGCCCTCCTCCCTGGTCCACACTAGGGGAAGGGGTAGGGACAGAACAGGGAGCAGCTAAAGCATGGGACACAGAGAGAGGGGAAATGGAGGAAGGCACAGGGGGACCACAGCCCTGACTGTGCAGAGGCGCACATGGAAACCTGCCCTCTGGCTCGGCGCCTGTGGCTCAAGCGGCTAAGGCGCAAGCCACATACACCTAAGGTGGCGGGTTCGAATCCCCAGCCTGGGCCCGCCAAACAACAATGATGGCTGCAACCAAAAAATGGCCAGGCGTTGTGGCGGGCGCCTATGGTCCCAGCTACTTGGGAGGCTGAGGCAGGAGACTCGCTTGAGCCCAGGAGTTGGCGGTTGCTGTGAGCGTGATGCCATGGCACTCTACCCAGGGGAATAGCTTGAGGCTCCATCTCAAAAAAAAAAAAGAAACCTGCCCTCTTATGCCTGGGCACCACTGACTGTCCCTGCCCAGTCTCTTCAATCTACAAACTACAAGAGCCACCTTGATCCTAAAAGCATTTTCCTCCTCCAGTGTGTGCCTATTCAGACTTCTGCAGCCATGATCACCCTCTTAGGTCCCTCCAGAACTTTGGCAGCTCCTTCTCAGTCTCCCTCCCTGGCTCTTCCCTGGTCTTAGAGCAGTGGCCTCCCTGTCACCACTTCAAGCTCTCTGCTTTCTTGCTGCATAGTCACGACCCTCTCACCCACAAAGTGACCCTCTCCCCACAGCAGACGGTCCCTAATCCACTCCTCCTGCCTGTGCCCACCTGCAGCTGGGCCTGCAGCAGCTGGATGTCCTGGTTCTCCTTGGCCAGCCTGTCCAGCAGAAGGCCCATGTTCCGTGGACAGGGACCCCCTACATCAGATGAATCCCTAATCTGTAACTCCAGCTCTGGCCTCCCTAGAGCTCAAAGTAGTATTTCTGACTGCCCACCAGCCACCCGGGTGGCCCGCAAGGACCAAATACTCCATACATTGTCCTTCAAACTAATTTTTTTCTGCTCCTCCTCCAATCTGAGGACAGAGATTGTGTCTGCCATCTCACTGACCAAGCCTTTCCTCTCCACCTCATACCAGACAACTAGATGGTTCTGTACTTAAACAAGTCCACATACCCCCCACACTCCCACCGTACCTGCCTCAGTGTAGGTCTGCAGAATCTTTGCTTGACCTTGGCAACTGCCTCCTAAATGGTTCCCAGGCCCCAGCCTTTCCCTCTGTCACTTCAACAGGGACAAACTCCTACACTCCTCTACCACAAGCCTCATATGGAGCCTCCTACACATGGGGTAGGTGGCCTCCACAGTTTTGCCGATGCTGCAACCTTGGCTGGGAATGTTCTTTTCCTCCTGCCATGCCTACCAACACCTAGGGTCCACTCAGTGTCACCTCGGCTTGCCTCCTGACTAGACCATGACCCCTTTCTTTTTTTTTTTTTTTTTTTTTGAGACAGAGCCTCAAGCTATCCCCCTGGGTAGAGTGCCATGGCATCACGCTCACAGCAACCTCCAACTCCTGGGCTCAAGTGAGTCTCCTGCCTCAGCCTCCCAAGTAGCTGGGACTACAGGCACTCGCCACAACGCCTGGCCATTTTTTGGTTGCAGCCATCATTGTTGTTTGGCGGGCCCAGGCTGGGGATTCGAACCCACCACCTTCGGTGTATGTGGCTGGCGCCTTAACCGCTTGAGCCACAGGCACCGAACCCATGACCCCTTTCTTGGGCAGCACCTCCACTCCTCCCCAGTGCCTCCCAGTGGGGCTGACACATCCTGACTGAGTCTGGTCCACCTCCTACATAGGCCAGGAGACACCTTCCCTCCCTCTTCTCAGGCCCAGAGCTACACAAGGAAATGGCTGGGTTTTAGAAGAAAACAGTAGATCCCATGGTAGAGAGGATAAAGTCAACCAGACAGGGGCCCTGCCACTTAGCAGAGGGGTGACCTTGGTCGTCACTTAACTTTTCTGAGCCTCAATGTCCTCAGGGGTAGTGAGAACAGAAGGCACCGAGCTGCTAAGTTCCAGGGCTTGGACCAGAGCCAGAACTCAGGGGCTATGGCTGACCCATCTACCATAACTTCCAGAAGTATCGGGACAGAGTGAGACAAGGAAGACATACCTGCTTTTGGGGTTGAGGGCAGGTCTTGCAGAGGGCTCTGGTCCTCCAGGTCCTGTGTGTCTGGTCCCAGGCCTGTTGCCACAGGAGTCTCCTGCAAGTCTCCCTGGACCACTGTGTCTCCTGGGCCAGTGGGCTCCAGTTCACAGCCATCACCTTCCCAGGCACCCTGGCGCAGATGCAGGCACAGCCATGAGCAGCCCCAGGCTCTCCCCCACTCCCCTCCCTTCTCCTGGGAAGGTCCTTACCTTGGCCTCAGCCTCCTCTGGAAGAATGGTGCTAGCCTGGGGGCTTCCAGTCTGGAAGAAGGTCCCTGTGGTGAGAGAAAAGGCCCCGGAGAAACCACTGTCCCAGTTGACCCTCCTGAGAAGCCCTTCAGCTCCCATAGGCCCTGCCAGGTTGGAAGGGGCAGGAAGAAAGATGGAATGAGGGAAGTTTAAACTGAGATCATGGAGGAAGTAAGGTCAACCAGCTTCCCTTTCTCTGAGGAAACCGGGAAATCCCAGAACTGTGAGACCCTCAGTGGGGCCCCATTACCTTCTCCATCCAAAGTCTCAGCTAATTCTTCCCCATCTGTCTTGGGGGAGCTCCGAGGAGTCTTGGGGGCTCTCTCAGACTCTGGGTTCTCCTGGGGAGACTCCGGGCCCAAGGTCTCCACGGGCAGGCTCTGGCAGCAGGGCAATACCAGGAGCACATGTTCTGCTGGGGTCCCTGGGACTGGCTGTGTCCTTGGATGGGACTGTGCCATCCAAGGACCCCAACCCACACCTCAGAAAACATGATACACTCAGTAGGGAGCTGATCCAGAAAGGGTCTCAGTTCAGCATAAAGTGCTTGGCGTCCCAACCCACTCAGTGCTGTGAGGTGCTGTCAGAGGTAGCGTCTGTCAAACAGAGCACCACTGGACAAGGCACTGACCATGGTGCACACCTCCACCAGGAGCCAGCCAGAGCCTAGGCCCCATTCCTCTTAAGACCATAGGTGCTCCCTCCACAAATGTACAGCCTGATTGTCAGTTGGAGGGTGGAAGGCAGGCAAGAGAACAAAGTCTCCTGGGTGCCAGGGGTCACAGTTATGCTGTCCAGGGGTATCCCTGTGATTGCCCTCACAACTGGCCAACCACCTACATCTTCCCGTGCTCTTCGGGCCTTTCCCGTGGGCCCTTACACTCCCCCATGCCCACCCCAAAGTAGCTGTTCACAGAAGCCTAACTCAGCCCACTCTAGGCAGCCTGTCCCCCATACGGCCCTGGACACCCAGTCTCGCCCTCTCCTGCCTCTGCATAGTCATCCTTGGCAGGCTCATTGCCCAACACTCCTGCACAGCTCCTGCTATCTCTTCAAGAGTAATTCTTTGCCTCAGTGCCAGTAGCTCAGTGGTGAGGGCACCAGCCACATACACCAAGGCAAGTGGGTTTGAACCTAGCTCAGGCCTGCCAAACAAAGACAATTGCAAAAAAAAAATAGCCAAGCATTGTAGTGGGTACCTGTAGTCCCAGCTACTTGGGAGGCTAAGGCAAGAGAATCACTTAAGGCCTAGAGTTTGAGG